GGGGGGTTCCTTGAGCTATCTAGAAAACATGGGAAATTTCAGACATTATCATTAATTTCAATAGAGTTTTGAATAATTTGCTTTAACTAAAATGGGAGGAAGATTTCCTAAGTGGGTCATCTAGATTTCTTTTGTTGGTTTGCCAATCCAAATTATTATTTAGTAACTCCAAATCCTTTTGCTTATTGCATTTACTTTTCTCTCTCTCAAACAGATAACTTAAAAGGATGACCTCTTTAAGTGGGAGTGATCATTTCATGGAAATTTGCTCAAGAGTAAGGCTAATTAACAGATGAAATGAAGACATGAAATCCTATAGGCACATTATCTCAACATGTGAGATATCAAGTTCTTATGGTTTTTGTATGTCTAATAATGCTGCAATGGTCTTTTGGTATGGTGAGAGATGGTTTGAAAGCTGAATTTTAAGTTTGCAATGACAAAGGATCTGTCTTACCATGCGAATGGATGCAGTGGAATGAATTCAAAGTTTTGGTGCTCAATGAGTTGATAGCTTGCAGGTATTCAGACAGCAACTGATGCCATGCATTTTACCATTTCAGCGAAGATACCAGAGTTGAGCAACAGTACAGAGAGTCACGTTAATGAGTTGCAACTTATAGCGTCTTGTCATTTTTATACATTTATTCTTAGATCTAATGCAACTTATAGCATCCTGGTTACAAGATTAGTAGTAGTAGATGATGAGTTGAACAGCTAATTAAGTAAGATTTTTTGGAGCTTGATCTTAATTCAGTTTGGTTTTTGTTGTTTTCTTTAATTTTGCTTTTATTTTAATATTAATTGGGGTCTGTTGGTGGGTACGGAGAGAGTCATGTTGCTGAACAGTTAATTATGTCAGATATTTTCTTCAGTTTTATATTTTTGAAATTTCTAATGTTTTTTTTTGAAAAAAGTTAGCCAAGATTCATTGAAATTTCTAATGTATTTTTGTAATATTTTATATTTCTTGGGTTTTCCATGTTAATTTCTAATGTTTCATTCAGTTTGGATTGGATTCATTTAAATTTAAATGGATTGGTTTGGGTTAGGTTTGTACTAGATTTGGATTGGATTGGGTCTGGTCCATTTGTAAATGGATACATGTTGGATTGGACCAATCCTGGTCCAATTGGCAGCCCTATTTATCTTTTTGCATGTTAATTGGATTGTGTTTGACTTGAATTTTCATGGATTTTGTCTCTTTATATGTTTTTTATTAGGGGAAAAATTGGAAATCATGGTTGATTCCGATTTCAGTCTCTTGATGAACCAAACAACATCAATTGGAATCCAATTCTGATTCCTGTCTGAACCAAACAGGTAGGGGGAATAAGCCATTCTGATTCCAATTCCAAGGGATTCCGATTGTGAACCAAACAGACCCTTCATTTTTTTTGTTTTATTCCCATTTTCCGGTCATCTCCATTTTACTGTCAATTCTTTATCTCATATGCTTTTATTTTTGTAGATTCTACTGCATGGTAGCATGTAATGTAGAAATCAATGTTTCATGGATAGTTTAATTGGGCTATCCATTAAAAGTCTGAAGTTTATTGAAATGGCAAATTAACTGATTAGAACAATGTACTGTTTTGGAAACCTGTGCCATGCACCTGACTGGTGTAAAGTTGGAAGAATCATTTACACCAACCAGTTAATGAATAGTTTTCATACATGCTGCACACCCATATAGAGTTTTCATGTGTATTGTCAATTTGGTGAAAGATAGATACCACCTATAAAAAAATCAGTGAAAGATGTCTTAAAAGTCAATTTGTCATTCGATTGAATAGGTAAAATGATTCTTCTACATCATTTGTTTTGTAACAACCGCAAGCATCTTTTGAATCTGGAGTTCAATAAAATCTGGGAAAATTGTTCCAATGAGAATGTTCACTTTGTTTTGGTCAAAAAAACTTGATTTGGCAATAATCCCTAACATAGCAAATCTGCAAATAGCTATTGTGAGAGAAAATAGTACAATTTCCATTTTCCACCTAAAATTCCTCAAGATTCTATCTTGCAATGACCAAGTAGCTGAAACATCCTCGATGCAGAGATCTCTAATTGTTCTAACTATTGGATCACACAAAACTAACTTTCCATCACCAAGCTCAGCTAGAACAAGTGGTACCAATCAATGGCTATGGTCAACTACTTATCTGGGATTTTAAAATAATATATTTAAGAAAGTTGTTGATTTAGACAAGGGTCCATTATTGGAGTGTCCATGTTGCATTTTAACACATTTTAGTTGAACAAACTTTTCAAGCTACATTTTTGCCATTTTTGTATCAAATTAGATAGTTTGAATTTTTATTTATATTAGGAAACTATATCATATTTGGTTTGGATGATAGAGACACAATTAAATTCTTTCATTTGGGTTGGAATTGGCCAAGGTAGCAATCTGAACTGGCCAGCTGCCAACAAGATATGAACAACGCTTGTAGAAACACCGTGCGGGAATTAAAGTATAGAGTGAGTCTTGGCATTTAGTGCTGAGTAGGCTGTGGATTGTACTGCAGAGGTGATTAGATAGTGAAAATGTGCTTGATTAAATTTGCTTCACTTATTGTTTTGACTTGGGCAACTAATGAATGTTGCATTACACCTTAAATGCCATTATCTTTTTCTAAACTAATACACCATATGGTCTCCAAGATGTTAAATTGGCTATAAAAGGAAAATTTAGTGCTGTTTTAGACACTATATGTGTGCCAAAACTAGAAAGAATAGGCATCAACCTTTTAAGAAGAGATAGATGCTACATGACTTTGCAGGTAGAATAGAGACCCTTTATTGATTTATATCTCAAGAAGAATTCTTAAATGCTTGTTTTCTGAATGCTTCCATTGGGCATTTAATATTTTTATTCTTTTCTTTGTAGGGAGAGAGCTGAGGGAAGCATCCCTTGCTAATAGGTATGGGTTAGAAGTTCGCAGTTGGAATTCCTGCAGTAATAGCTGTTCATTGAAGAAACAATTTTATTATGTTATGTAATCACTACCTGGGACTTTTGTTTTTTTCAAGAGAGTGATGATGTTGTTGGTAACTTACATACGCATGCGAAGCATGTGACCTAATGCTAGTAGTTGTACAATATTAAAATTCTAAAGTTCCTAATCAGTGGTGGAAGTTTCTATTATCCCAAAAAAAAAAAAAGATTTATGGATAGACATCTCTTAACGTGGTTGGGGGTTTATTGAATGGCCTACAATACCACCAAACAAAATTTCCATTTCTTTGTGTATCCCCACAAAATCAGTTATGTCATCTGCAGTCTGAACCCAACTCTGACTACTCAGCTCAGTTTGGGAGGGTTGAAGTGCAGCGGCTTCTGGCTTTCCAATGTGGGCCCTAAACAGCCTTTAAACTATGTTTGGTGAAAAATCTGGAGAACACCTATGGGGATGCCAATTTTGACTCAAATCTACTGAACTCCATTCCCTACCCACTGTAGGCATTAACCCTTAGACTCAGATCCTGCAGTTGACTGATTGAGAACACCTATGGTTTGACTTTTTGAATCAGTGAACTTAGCAAGAGTGGAAAAGCTTTCAGCGAAAAATTTGGTTAAAGTATATGCGGCTAAAATTCTTGGTTTTTTCTTTTGTTGCTTAAGCCAAAAATTCATTGTACTATCATGTAATGTTTTAGGTACATTCATCTATCAGAAGTTCAGAACCAAATTTTGCATAAGTTTGATTGTTTAGCTCCTCTCTTCTCATGCATGTCAAGCATATCTTCTCCATTGGTTTCTCTCTCTTCTTGATCTTGTGTCACCATATCTTGGATGTTAGTATTTTCTCTCTCCAGCAGTTGCTATAATTGTTTCGGAGCTCAGATTTACCTTTTTTTATCCAATTGCTAAATTTAATTTTCTAATTGATATTTGATCTTTTGATCGGTTTATTTGAATTATGTTTTCGCTCTTAGATGAACTATACAGATAAAGTATGTATTTATCTAATCAGTCCTTCCCCTTCTTTGGTTAGGATTTTCTCCATATATAGTCATCTCAACATGGAAGAACAGTTCATTCTTCGAGTTCCACCTTCAGTTTCTGAGCGGATTGACCGCCTTTTGAGTGAGAATGCATCTTCTTCTGAAGACAAGTCATTGGATTTGTCCTTCTCTGGTGCTTATCTTCTCTTTGTGCTTTCAGTTGATAAGAAATTCTTATTTTTATCTTACTTAATGGTTAAGGTTGAGGTAGATTTTTATCAAAGTTACAGGTTTGGTGCCGATTATGGTGTAAATTGTAGGATGTAATAAACCTCATTATTTTATAATTTCTCTTATCTTAATTATAATAAAAAACCAAAACATGTCTGCATTTTTCTTTTTAGGTTATTTACATTCAATGCTGGAATGAATTCTTTTGTGTAATCTGGTCTCATGAAACTGACATGAAGAGCAAATTTTATCCAGAGAAAATGCAATTCATATTTGGAAATAATGCTTTGATGCACTTTTTTGTTTGTTGATTTTATTCTCAACATGCACACTTCATTCACAACAGGAAGTTAACAGAATGAGTTACCACCATTATTTTGAATCAGGCGTACGGTTGTTTTTTATTTAATTGTGTATGTTAGAGTTGCAAAATAAAAATGAGAGAACAACAATAACCTACGAATCAGCACCTAGGCATCTCTAGGAGTCAACATCTAGATAAAATATTAAGAATTGGCACCGCCAGTGAAATTAGAATCACTCAATATTAGAACAAATAGCCTACATTATAATATTTGATGTCTAAAAGCGAGGGCTTCTACCAGGAAGGACAGACATGGGGTTGAATGGATGCCACCAGGGGAGGAGTTTATCAAGTTGAACTTTGATGGAAGTAGCCAAGGAAATCCAGGACCTTCAGGCATAGGAGGAGTGCTGAGAAACAAAGATAGTAGCATTATATCTTTGTACTCAGGTCCGGCGGGTGTCGGAGACTCTTTAAGGGCTGAATTACTTGCTGCTGTACAAGGAATCCAGCTTGCATATCAGCTAGGCATAGAGCATCTGATTATTGAAGGGGATTCCCAGGTGATAGTGGGTTGGCTGAAGGATCAGGACACTGTGATTTGGGGTTTTAGAGATCTTCTCAAAAAGGTTAAATGGTTAACGAGGAATATGACAATCAGAGTTCAGTGGGTAGGCAGATCAGCAAACTCATTGGCTGATTCACTTGCAAAACAAGGGGTTCTCCGGGATACTTTATTTTGGGCTTCTGTGTAATTTCTTTTATATTTATAATTCTGTAACTAGCTTTAAAGGAAAGATCGCATCTCGTGCCTTTCCACGGGTTGCATGTAACTCTTATTTGCTTTTTGTAAAATCTCACTCATTTATCAAAAAAAAAAAAAAGAGAGGGTTTCACATGTATTTAAAGGCAAAGAGGGGAAGGCTGACCAGCCATTTCCCATTGTTTTCCTACTATGAATCCAACTAAGAGACAGTACTAAGACACTAACCTTTTTTTTTCTTACATCCCAAACATGATCCCAGTGAAGGGGTAAAGTTTTCATTTATATCATTGCAAATGATGTAGCACCAACTGTTGTTAACTAAAAAAACTGTAGTTAACTTGTGCTTAGGGCTGACATATCCTAGTTTAAGTTAGGAATAGGAATAAGACAAATCCTACTTAGGATTGTGATTCTGGTTTACCAACTTTGACATCCTAACTTAATTCCTAATCTATCATGATAACTAACCCTTAGTCTAATTAGCAAATCCAACTCCTCAGTTCAACTCAACTTTAGTCCTAACTATTTGGGGTTGGCTGAAAACCAACTCCTAATGCAATTAGGATGACTATTAATGCCTTGAATAATACAAAAATAGCTTCTGAAAATTGCTACAGTACTATATCCAAAAACATATAAAAATTCAAAAAATCGCAGATTTGTCTAATTGGTTCTTGCATCATTAGAACCATATATATTTTAGCATCCAGTAACAGCAAATTGGGTTTACTAGAAGAATAGAAAATTAATTGAAATTTAAGATAAAAAAAACTCAAATATCAATCTCATGGGTGTTTTAGTACACCATTCTTTATTCATTACTCAAATTAATAAATTTTTCACCAGTTCCAATAAAAAAATCAAATATCAATTTCTATTACTCAATCTTGATAGCTAACTGTTTGCTTCACCAAGATCCTCTATGCAGCATCTGAGTGTCCATAACTAGATATTTTGGTAGCTTATCCAAAGGGGGGAAAAGATGTTTTGTAATGCCCCATGCCTAAACTTAAGGCTTTGAAGGAGTCTCAACAGCTTAACAGGATTAGATTCTTGCAGAAGCCTATACTATACTCCAATACTGAATAACTCTACCACAGGTCCACAACAATCATCTCTCTCTCTCTCTATTGATTAGTAACAGATCAAGCAATGTCATTAGTTTGATGAAAAGATGGTAGTGAAGTAAACAACTGCTTACACCATACAAACATAACTACCATTATTGGAATGGACAGACCATTAGGACTCAAGGAATAACTCATATCAACAGGAAACAACTGATTACACCAGCAAGTCTCCTTGTTCTCTTGTTTAACATAGGACTTTGGTTGAGAAGATGATTGTGTCTAGTGTTAGGAGTTTCTTTAGCTCAGGTTGCATTATAGGAGCATAAAGCATACTGCATACTGCTTTTTTTTTGTGTAAAAAGATCTGCCTATTTCTCTCATTTCCAACATGATTATCTAGCACTTAAGGCATCAATTACTAATAGGTGATAAGAGAACAGTGTCCTCATCTTTCCTGGTTTCTTTCCCTTCTTTTATCAGATATGACATGCAATTTGTATTAATATAAGTAAAATGAGATGAAGTCAATTTTATGGAGTATTGAAAGTTATGAAGGGCAAACCAATTCCAGAAGAAGGGGACCCTTGTACAATCCTGTACAAGAAATATGATTTACCAAATTGGTGGGGCACCATTGAAGGTCCATATTCCAATCTCCTTCTTGCTAAGATTTCAGCAATCAAACTGGCTAATGTTAAGAGTGAAAGACATCTGAAAAAGGGGTTTATACTGCTGAACATCAATGGCTGCAAAAGAGGCAACCTGGGAGATTCAGGGATTGGTGGTATTTTCAGAGATCATCTTGGGAATATCATGGCAATTTACTCAGGACCTATTGGGCAAGGAGATTCAGCTAGAGCAGAAGTGGTGGTTCTCCAAGGGTTTAAGTTGGGGAAAGTTCTAAACCACAGGGGTGTTGTGGAAGGGGAACCAAGAGTTATAATTGACTGGCTTAGAAATAGAAAGCTAGGTGCATGGCACTACATAGACATATTGAGGTATAAAGCCTGGTGAGGGTTCTGAAAGCTTCAGTCAAGTGAACTGAAAGTTTGAGAAACAGCTTGGCAGATGCTATGGTCAGGTGAGGAGTGAGTGGAAATCCATTGTAATAGGGGGTTACAAATCCAGGGGGCTGATACAAATTTAAATGTAAAGGCTCAGGGTGGGTAGCAATTATTGAACTAAATCAGAGGGATGCTAAGCACATCTTTTTTTTATCAATAACTGAATTTTCATTAAATTTATAAAAAGAAGATTACAACAAATGCAACAAATGAAAGGATATAAAGCCGCTTATCTCCAATAATAAAATTTTACAACTGATCCCAAAGCATTTGTGTTAGGAACCTGCCTAACTCAGGGCTCTTCGAGGGGCCAACCTCCTGAATTCTTGGAGAGAGAGAGTTTAATGCTGAAAGAGTCCATCCTTATTCCTTTTTGGCTCTACTACTTATAGTGTTACAATCTTGACTGTTACAGCTGTTACAAGTGGATGGCAGTTGTGACAAGTGGCTGCTGATGTGGCCTCTTCTTGTAA